CCCCAAAACCCCAAAACCCCAAAACCCCAAAACCCCGGAAAATTGAGATGAGATTGAAACTATCTCTTAAAAATTAGACGACACAAATCAATAGAACCCTAACTATGAAATGTAAACTAAATCTGACCTTGATCCCTTTGAATCCTATTTATACTATCTTTAGAAGATTATTTAAGTATACTCTTGCCATAATCCTTCTTAAGGACGAGTCTGTCTCCAAACTTCTTCTTAAGAGCTTCTGATTTATCGTTTTTGATAGGGCTTGGCTTGAACTGAAAAAAATTAGTACAGGCGAAGAGTTAGAGAAAGCAACTTAGTTAAGAATCTTGACTATTTTCAAAGAGAAAGCTGGGGTTAGCAATTGGCTCGAGAAAGTTCATTCTAATCGTAAGATTTCTCTTGCTCGATAAATTCATAAGGAATTTTTCCTTAGTGGAGTTCTAAGGACAAGACTAAAATTAAGACAGATCCCATTTCAAAACACAGTGGAGAAGAGTTTAAACTTTAACTCGTGCAATTATAAGACACAGAAGAAGAGAGACAAGAATCTTACCTTCTTGAAAGATTTTTCTGTCCTTCCTTTAGCATACTTTCTGTCGAGAGAAATCAACCTGAAGAGTGAGGGGATCAACTACTTTGCTCTTTTCCATTCTGGAACGTCTTTGAGGCTATTTATTCTTGAATCCTTCTGTATCTGTGGTAGATTTTAGATTAGAGTTTTCTGAAAGAAAATTTAATTGCTAGATATATTTTCTGATTCAAGGCTTATTCTAATTAAATGAATAATTGAGCTCGATATTGTGAGATTTATTCCATAAGTCTATGTTATACCTGAAGCTGTCTTGTTAATTCCTTTAACTCTGGATAATACAGATTGTAGGTTTTCTTCTTTCTCTTGTTCAAGTGGCTCGCGGCCATTAGGTCTAATATTTATGTTGCATAGCTACCTTTTGTCTTTTGAGTAAGCCTTTTTCAAATCTGTGAAAGTCTTTTTAAACATTCTATAGGCTATGGATATGATAATGCTACTTTGAGTTCATCTTTGATAGGTTTAAATATTATAATTTCGAATTCTTTTCCATGGAGATCTTCTAAAATGGGGTTTTGGGGTTTTGGGGTTTTGGGGTTTTGGGG